TTCATCAAATTATGTTGATCATTATATCCCACAAATGAGTGAGATCATGTGATATTTATCTTTCTCTGACTGACTTATTTCGCTTAGCATAATGCTCTCCATGTCCATCCATGCTGTTGCAAATGGTAAAAGTTCCTTATTTTTCATAGTGGCATAGTACACATTCTTTTTATAAAAAAAAATAAACTACCTTATGAGATCATACTACTTACAATTCAAATTCAGGAATATAGGTTGTTTTTTAGTCAACTTATTCTAGATTATATCTGTATTTCCTTTCTTCCACACCAAAAATACAGGTCCTTGAAGATAATAGGGGATGATAAAATTAGAATATCTCATAATTATTCATTTAGTTTATACCACTGTGTTAGGGGTGCCCAAGACTACCTCACATCCGGTGACTCATTAGAAGGAGTGATTGAGCATATATTTGTGTTAGAGTAGGTAGATAGATATGAGCAGAGGAGATAAAGGACAAATTGACCAAAAAACAAAACAAAACCCATGCTCAAGTAAACAAGGGAAAGGGAGAATAGAAAACTAAAACAGCCATCAAAATTAGACGAAGACAGGGAAAAGAAATGCAGTAAAAATGACTCCTAGCACCAAAAGGACATCTGCAGACACACGACATTCTAAGAAGCCCACCAGTTAGGCAGACCCACGAAATTCTAGGGAGCCTACCAGCTAAAGGACGAATGGTGCAGGGAGATTAGCATAAAGCGTGGGAGGGGCAAGAATAAAACAAAGGCCAGGATTTAGACCCCCGGATGTACTTGAATACAGCTTTGATGCTCTCTGCAATTTCCCCGTCTCTCGCGTTGAAATCCTTCCTCCCGGAGACGAGAACCTGGTCTTGCTGATCCCCAGCGCCGCTGACAGTTCTAACCGCGAGCCCGGAGCCGGTTCAAGAAAGCCCCAAATGGTAAGCATCTAGCCTCGCCCTCCCTTGGGCTAGAGGCTTTGCGTTCCCTCTCTCCCCCTCTCCCACCCTCTCTCTCTCTAAGCCGCACTCTCCTGGACACCGGTCACCAGTTAAATGCCGCAAGGGCGGGTGCCACTTGGAGGCTCCCGTGGAAGGTAAGGTAGTACTCAGCCCGGGGCAGAAAACCCGCCACCCACCCGCTAGAAAAAGGCTGATAGCATCTCAATACTGACCCAAGCCCCAGGCAATTACTTTGGAGAGAAAGACATTCTGACTTTCGCTTTTTTTGTTGTTGTTAATCCTCACCCCAGGATATTTTTTCTTTGATTTTTAGAAAGAGTGGAAGGGAGGACCCTTCAGTCCGCAGGCCTATCTACGCTCAACCCAATGAGCCAAACCCGCTAAGGCTTGCGTTTGCTTTGTCACTTTAACCGACTCCTAATAATTGGTGAGGCCCAGTCTCTGAGCTTGAGCAAACATTTCTTCGGGGAAGTAAAGATCACCTGTAATTAACATTGGACTCATCCGGGGAGTGCATGTAAGGGTTGGCCAGCGGGCATTTGGAGTCCCCTCCCGCTGTCTTAGACACGTAGAAGGAGCAGGGGTAGCCAGCTCCTGGGAGCCTTTCCCATACGCAGCACACTCCGGGAGAACTTTGCTCAGGCTCAACAGACCTATTAGTCCATGATGCCCGGGTTCAGATTATCAACCCCGCCGTCTGCCCCTACGCATCTTCTTTCAGAAACTTCCACGTTTTACCTCCTGAATCTTATTTACCCGTCGGGTATTCTTTCTTTTGCCTCCCTCTCCTCGCAACTGTGTTTGAAGTGCAGGCGAGGTGCCTGCTGTATATGCGGAAGGGCGGGTCACAACTATTCCTTAAGGCGTCTAGTGGCTCAGACGAAGGATAGAGTTCCTCATTTTCCTTGCTTGCTGCACCACATCAGGAGAGAACACTGGCCTGATTCTGTGATGAACGCTTTTCTTATTTATTTTTTGTTTCACCGCTCCTTGAAGAGTCTCCAGAGCTCCATTTATTATCAGCCCCTGCGAGATTTTTCTCGCTTACTTCGATTCAGCTACTTATATCCTGTCAGGCCTGACATCTCCCACGTTCAAGCTGCAGTTCATTGGCAGCAGGGTTCCCTTTTCAGTCAACTTGTAGCTCTACTGTGCTCCTCTTGGGACTCAAGAATACTCCTTATTAAATATCTAGACATTTCAGACCTTAATTGCCGCCAGCACTTTTGCTGTCTCTGTCGGGGCAGCCACTGGAAAGATGAGCGCATCCCACGGGCCTTCTTTATCAAGAATGGACTCCCCTGTCTGCTTAAACATTTGGTTTGTCCAATATTACGCCCCATTGACACGGAGATAGCCTCATCAGGAAAACACCTAAACTCAAATGACTTATTAGAGTGGATCACATATTACAAGTATATTTTTCACAGACTAATCATAAGACGCTACAAGGTACTCATGCTTCAAGAGATAGCAGGACTTCAACTCCTAAGAACACTATCCAGCTTTCCAGAGTATGGGTTCCAACCGAGGCACTCAGGGGAGAGGAAGGGATCAAAAAGATAGATGAAAATATATGGCTCAAAAAATCCACAACCCGGAAATGTTTGAGTCACCAGGGAAGCTTTGGCCAAGCATTTAAGAGAATTTCTAAAGAGGTCTAGAAATACTCTACAGAGAGAACTTGGCAAAGGGGCTGCCCAAGCCTGTCCATACTTTCTATTCATTTGAACAAGGTCACAGGACACGCTGGCCCGTTCACACTCTCCTCTCCAGCCCAGACCTCTCTTTTCTATTTTCCAGATGGGCAACACCACCTCCATACCACAGGACTCACCACTGGGATGTATTATCAAGAATTAGGATACATATGACCCCCAAACCCTCAGAAAGAAAAGATTAATTTTCTCCTGTAATACAGCCTGGCCACAATATAAATTAGATGACCAAGAGGTCTGGCTCCATATGGAAGCATAAATTATAATAATATTATTCAATGAGACCTGTTTTGTCACTGGCAAGGGAAATGGACTGAGGCCCCGTACATACAAGCCTTTACGGCCCTCAGAGACAATCCTAAGCACTGCAGCTCTTGCAAATTAGACCCAGATGTTATAGCAGTTATTAGCAGATGCCCCAGCCTAAAACTATAGGCACCCTAGACCCCAAAACTCCAACTGGCACCAGGGACCTTGGCTACAGTCCCTGAATGCCCTACTAATGATCCTGTGCCCTTCACATAGGACCCACAACCCCTAGTCTGTATCCATTACAAGAGATTACCGGACCCTCTGGTCCTGCATGGGTCCAGGGCCCATTCTCCATTCAGGATCACAGGCAGGTAAGATCAGACCTTGGAACGATTTCAGATGATTCCAAAAAATACATGACAATTTCCTTAAACTAACCCGAACCTTCGACTTTGCGTGGAAAACTATTGCAGGGATCATGGGGCAAACTGTCGTACCAGAGCAGCGAGCTGAAGTAACTGAAGCAGCTCAAATATTTGGGGATGACACCCACCTAACTCAGCTTCAAATATACCCTGTAGGAGCTGTTGCAGTCCCAAAGCCAGACCCCCACTGGAGCTATAACAACCAACGAGACAGGTCTCTTAGAGATCGCTTTTTGCATTGCTTAATAGAAGGAATGAAAAAAATTGAAAGCACAACTAAAATAATAAACTTTCAACCACTGACCAAGGGCCCCAAGAAAACCCTTCTGCCTTTTTAAAAGAAAGATTTAAAGAGACCCTTCATAAACATACCAACGTAGATCCCAACTCACCTGAGGGACAATTGATTTTAAAATATCACTTCCTAACTTAGGCGATCCCAGACATCTGGTACAAATTACAAAAACTAGCCTTAGGTCCAGGGACATTGATGGCTGAGATCCCAAAGGCAGCATCCTCAGTTCACTATAATAAAGAAATAGAGGAGGAAGAAAAGAACAAAGAGAAACAAAAGCCAAAGACAAAAGGCAGGCTCAGCTACTCTCTGCCCTCAGGCCCAGCCTTCTCAGAAGGGGGGAAACCCAAAGGCTCCTGTTGGAAACCACCATCGTGGGAAACCTGGCCATTGCAGGTGAAGCCAAAAGCACCTTGTCCCAAGTGTAAGGAGCCTGATCATTGGGTCTGTGGCTGTCCTGGGTCCCGAAGGGGACGTGGGCCGGAACCACTCATGACCCTTTGACTGAGAAGGCCCTCTACTCGAGCCAGTTCCCAACAAGAACATCCACTTGAATGGGACGGAGCCAAGGGTCACCCCAGATGTGGAAAGTAGAAATGGGAGCTGCCTACTCTATGCTAAATAACTTCTCTGGACCTCTACCTTCCGACTCCTGCCAAGTAATTGGGGTTAGTGGAAAACCCTCTATCAGGAGATTTACTCCTCCCCTGTGTTACCTTTGGGATCAAACAGCCTTTTCCCATCCATTCCTGGTGATGTCAGAATGTCCTATCCTGCTTTTAGGGAAGAACACCCTCAGTAAACTAGGGGCACAAAAATTCAACACCAAGCCAATATCTTTTTCTCTGAACGGGTCCTTGAAACTGAGAAAATTATAGATCATTCCATAAATTTGGACTGATGGAGTACCCGGAAGGGCTAAGACAGCAATACGTATAAAAATAAAACTAAAAAATCCCACAAATTTTCTCCATAGGAAGCAATATCCTATAAAGCCAGAGGCCAGAAAAGGACTTCAAATAATAATTATTAAATTCCTGAAACATGGGCTATTAATTTCTATTAATTTGCCCTGCAATAAATACTCTTATCCTCCCTGTTAAAAAATAAAATAAAATGGAGACTATAGATTAGTGCATGATCTACAAATTATAAATGAGGCTGCTGTCCCAATCCACCCTATAGTTCCCAACCCTTATACTATCCTAGGAGAAATACCTTCTCAGATCCAATGGTTTTCAGTCTCAAGGATGCTTTCTTTTGCATTCCTTTGAGCCCCTGCTCTCAATGCTTACTTGCCTTTGAATGGACCAAGGAGGACAATACAAGCCAACTACTAAACTGGACTGGACTGGCCCAGGGCTTTAGGGATAGCCCTCATTTATCTGGGTAGGCACTAGCCAAAGATCACAGGGACCTAATTCTTGAAATGGGGCAGAAAGCTCCTACAATATATAGATGATTTACTCATGTACTTCCCCTCCGAGGAAAAAGGAATACAGCACGCTATTAAGATTTATACACTGCAAGGGACATCAAAATAAATAACACAAGGAAACAAATACCTGATAAAGTTGCAAAGGTAGCCGCCACCTCTGAAGATATATTCTTGGGAGCACTAATTCCATCCTTACCTACAGAACTACCAACCCTTAAATATACCCAAGAAGAAATACAATGGACATCCCAACACAGTACACCAAGGGGCCAGCAGGATGGTTCCAATTAGGGGGACTCCTTTATGTACCCTCAGTTTTACAATGGAAAATCATAAAAGCCCTCCATGAATTACAACAGTCCCTCAACTCATTAGCCAATAAAATCTTAGACAATCATATTGCCCTAGACCTGTGGTCGGCAAACTGGGGCTCGCGAGCCACATGCGGCTCTTTAGCCCCTTGAGTGTGGCTCTTCCTAAGCCTTAGGAGTACCCTAATTAAGTTAATAACAATGTACCCTCCTATATAGTTTAAGTTAAAAAAATTTGGCTCTCAAAAGAAATTTCAATCATTGTACTGTTGATATTTGGCTCTGTTGACTAATGAGTTTGCCGACCACTGCCCTAGACTATCTCTTAGCTGCAGAATGAGGAGTTTGCGCTATTCAAAATACTGCATGCTGTACCAACATCAATAATTCTGCTAAAGTAGAAACAAGAGTATGTGAAATTCCAAATCATGCAACCTGGTTAAAAGGCCTCAGAGAAACCCAACTTTTGCCCGGTATGGTGACCTCGCTTACTTGGAACTGGAAATATTGGTTATGGTCTCTCTTTGGAAGTCTTTTAATCTCTCTCCTCGTCATAATAGTGATAACACTGTTTGGTCCTTGTTTGTTTAACCTACTTGTAAAATTTGTCTCTTCCAGGTTACAACTAGTGCACCTGTAAATGATGCTTCGCCAGGGTTTTCAACCCGCCCCGCCCCATACACATACGCAGAGACAACTCAACCCCTTGATCAAGCTGGCCAAAGATTCTGATTCTGAGAAACCTACCCTCTGCCCTGACAGACAGCAAGAGAATGAGACCCAATCCCCAACTTCGCCCGTTTGTCAGCAGGAAGTAGCCAGATGATTGTCTACGTCCATGATCTCCCAATGAATTGGGTCTCATAACTCTTGAGGGGGGAAATGTTAGAGTAGGTAGTTAGATAGATATGAGCAGGGCAGAGAAAGGACAAAAGGACCAAAAAACCGTGCTTAGGTAAACAAGGGAAAGGATGAATAGAAAACTAAAACAGCCATCAAAGGCTGAATGGTGCAGGAGATTAGTACAAAGCATGGGAGGGGCAAGAATAAGTCAAAAGCCAGGACTTAGACCCAATGGGGCACTCCAGCTTTGCTTGATGTACTTTCTCTTGAATAAAGCTTTGCTGCTTGCTGCAATTTCCCCGTGTGTTGAACTCTTTCCTCCGGGAGACATGAACCCGGTCTTGCTGATTCCCAGCGCCACTGACATTTGTATTCACAGCTAAGTTTTATTATAGCAAGCAGATATGAAACAGAATCAGCAATGGAAAAAGACACAGGCAGAGTTTGAAGGATGCCATGCGCAGGTTTCCTTATGTTGTCTCCCTTCCACAATGAGTCAGGCAGAACTGGCTGTTTCCTAGCAACAAAAATGCAGCAACGCACGTGTGATGTTTCCGCCCAAGGAAGCCATTAGAGACTCAGTGCCCAAGGTTTTTGTTGGGGGCTGGTCATTAGACACTCTGCCTAGCATGTACCAAAATTGCAGACTCTGAGAATGAAAGCAGATGATAAGCATAAACCACACTGTTTGCACAAAGTCTGAGCACAATGAGCCGTCCTTACCAGTTAAGGAATAGTGGAAACACTTCCCAAATGCAAGTTTCCAGCCAAGGGCCAACCTTTCAAAGGATAGCAGGCTTTGTTAACCCATTTCTGGATAGTTGACCCCTTGGACCTTGGATAAGGCAACTTTTACAGCACAATGATCAGTTGGATCCCTTGCATCAGGTGAGACCTACCTGCAGTATTATCCTCAGTTATACCCTACAGGGGACCTAGATTTTACCAGTTCACACAAATCCCATTAACCACAAAGATTTATCTTAGAAAGTCAGGTACCTTCCTCCTTAAATTTCTATATTAGCCCCCTTTTACCTGGCTCATGGCAGCCATTCAGGCACAGTGTACTCTGGTCAGTAAGTGGAAGCTGACTGGAAAGCCATTAGGCTGAGGCAGTGTTGGGATAGTCAGGGCACACACAGGAAGTGAAGTCCCAGAGGGCACACATGGCACCCCGGAAACAGAGGATGTCTAATACTTGTTAGGGTACCCAGAGCAAGACAGACATTAGCCAGGCAGTAGGGGTTAACAGGGCCCCCAGTGTCACCTCTCACTATGGAGCCTCCTGCCCAGTCCAACCAAATAATTGTTTAGTCCTTGGTTTCAGAGGGACTGCCTGAAAGCATCCAGTTTCCTTTCGTTTTGCTCCCATCATTCCTATCATGTGTGTGGACACCTGGAGGTGCTCTGCATGGAAAGTGCAGGGGATGGTGCCACCCCTGCTGCCTGTCAGGTGTGATCTACAGTCAATTTGAATTCAAGGTACTCACAGCAGCTTGGAAATGAAATACCATGAGGCATTATTTTTTTTTTTTCAGGAAAAGGGGAAAGCTTCCAGGAGCAGTTCAGAAAAACAAAGATCATTAATGCCTTCTCTACTCCCTGGCCCCTCCCCAGGCTTTATTTATTATTATTATTATTATTATTA